AAATCACACAGACAGGTAATAGAGAGCATTAGCAGCGCGTTGGTATTGCTTCGCTAGCTGCTTATTTTTATACATGTAAAGCCTAAAATTTTGTGTACAAATAGAATAGCAGGCGACGTGTCGCGGCGTCATGACGATGCAGTCATGATTCCGAACCCGACTGCAGGCGGCAGCAGCCAGTGTCCAGTCTGTTGCGAGTGTTCCGTGGGACATGATGTCAGACGTGTCTGAAATTAGCGATCGCGATTTATTTTTGTATCTTTTGTTACAAGAAAAAGAAGATGACGATAACTTGCTTTTATTATACAAGTATAAAGAGAAAAGGCGAAAAGACACACGTCCTATGTTGAAATACAGACGAAGTGAGGGAACGTACAGTGCGGGATATGGGGCCACCTGGTTTATCAGTTTCTCTTCCTCGGAATCGGTGAAACTCATTTTTTAAGAAAAATGCAACGTGTTGACGCTCGGGCGTTGGCGGTATTACTGATCTGCGGTCGGGCTACAGTGTCGTCTGCCGCTAGGAAAACGACGTGTCGTAGTACGTAGCTACGGAACGTATTTTATAGAACTACATAGAAACCAGTTGTGTCGCGGCGACACGTCGCTTGCTGCTGCTGTCTGCAGACGGCTACGGAATTGTACCTTTAAATAGCTGTCGTGGCAGCAACACGGCACAAGCGGCACGCAACATCAACGACGTTTACGGAGAATACTCCAAACGAACTCACCAACTTTTATTGGTTTGCCCGCTTCCGTTCTGGAAATTTCAACCTGAAATATGAACCCCTGGTCGTTCGAAAACTTTGGTCGAATGTGTCGAATGGGTCGAAAATGACGAATTAAAGACCATTGTGGAAGATGATACTCAATTTACGGCTAAATTAGTAGCAGCTTATGACGTTAGTGTCAAAACATTATTGGTCCATTTTCATCAAATTGTCAAAGGTAAAAAAGCTTGACAAACGGGTGCTCTACGAACTCAATGCTCAACAGGCGCACACCGAGGAAATTTGAACCGCATTTTTACCTACGACGTAAAACGGATCCTATTTGTCAATCGCAAGCGCTCAGCAAGTTGGTTGGACCCTGGTGTAGCACCTAAACAATGCCCTAAACAAAAACTTACCCCTAAAAAAGTGATAATCAGTGTTTGGTCGTCTAGCGCCGGTGTGATTCATCATAGTTTTTACTAAACGGGATGCGCATTACAGTAAATGTGAAGAACACAACACAATGGTGGAGAAGCTCGCACGTTTTCTACCACCTTTGACCAATCGCTCGTCCCTGCTATTCTTGAATGATAACACGCAACCTTATACTGCACAACAGACGGTGTCCAAGTTAATATAAGAGCTGTGGTTGGAAGCTCCCCGTCATTCGCCGTACTCACCAGACCTTGCGCCTACTGACTTCTAACTTTTTCCAGGATTTAGATAAATTTTGGCGAGGAAAAAATTCAATACCCGAGAGGCACTCAAAATGCCTTTTCTTAGCAGAGTAGTACAAAATGCTATTTCTTCTAGAAACTGCCATAGCGTTGGCAAAGATGCATCGATTGCATGGGTGATTTACTTTGATTAATAGAAATAAAAATATAGAAAAAATATACGTTAACTTATTTCATAAAAAACGGCAATTTCATGGATAAAGACCTGATATTACATATTCAATTTCTTGACATTTTAAGGGTTTCAGTTGGTAATCAAATTTTGAGATATTGAGAGAACGTGGAAAACTTATTGGAACACGCTTGTGGATGGCTTCTTTATATAGACTATGAAAGTTCTTAAAACAAATCCGTACAAAGCTGATGTCTAATCAAATACTTCTTAATTACTTACCATCTTAATTTAATTAAATGAAACAAGCTCTTTGACGGAGTAATAACAAACAAGGTGCCTTTCAACATAATATAACTTTAATAAATTGCAGTGGTATAAATTTGTTTAAAGTGATTAAAGTAAATTGAAGTTGGATATTAATAGAATCAGGCGTAAAGTAATTAGTGTAGGCAGAGACCAAAAGAAAAATAAATCACGTTAGGTCGAAAAAAACAAATGTAAAGTTAAAAATAATAATAACATGAAAACACGGATTTGTTATTACCATAATATCAAACTATTAACACAAAAATACAAGAAATGAGGTAAATTAAGGATTGAACTCCTCATATTTTTGTTAATCATTCCGCAATATAATATTGCTGCTTAACAACAGCAAAAAGGAAAGGGTAAAAAGCCACTCAGTTCATTGAGTACGCAGTAATCAATACCAGGATATGCTTTAAACACATGTATAATTTTGAAAACTTAATGAAGCTTACATGAATACAAAACTGTTTACAGTAGCTATAACAAACAGGTGAAAAACGACCCACGATTCGCTATTATCGCCATGCTTGGCAAGCGAATTGGCGATTACCGTATCTTGCGCATGTTATACTCAGATCTCATTTATCGTTTATAGATAGGACCAATGAGTTTAAGTTTTAAGCCTCAATATACATATTATTATACTTACTACTTGTGAAATGAATCTAACATACTGCGTATTTCAATCATCCTCACCACACTGAGTCACGTCCATTCTCTTTTTCTATGCTACGTTTTATAGTCATAACTTTCAGTTCTAATAGTTTGACGAATGAGTCGGCGCGGTGACGTCACAGTATCGCGTTATCTGTTTTCGGTTGGAAGCGCATTCCTCGCAGTTCTCCACCCTATTTTATATTTATAGTCGGTCGCTTTATCGTCCGACTATTATACATAGTCGGGCGAGCGTTCCGCGTCACCGACGCACTCAGGATTGAGCCGTGCGTAGATAATTCACGAACCTTATTCCGAACCATTTCTCTTGCATTATGTATATCATTGTGAATACGTTTATTGGTTATGTTGTTGTTATTGTGGATTTAATTTTGTCCTATTCAATCGTTTTTGAATCAAGGCATGAATTTTCTAATAATATATCTCAAAGTAATGCCTAGTTTAAAGGCTACGTTGTATGTTCTGTAAACACTACCAGTTCGGAAGGTTATAGAATATCCGACAGAATCATAAATGTTAAATAGGCATAAAGTTCGGTTACGCCTGAATGTATCGGAACCTTCTTAACTATATAAATATTTTTCCATTTTACTCGAATTTAAAATATCAACTGAACATAGGCAATTTAGAACAAAAACAAATAAATACTTAACCTAACAGAAATAAGTTATTCTAAAGTAAATAGAAGATTCCCATCTACGATCTCGACTCACAGCTACGATCCGCAATATCTTGTTATTAAAAAATGGATATACTTATTGTATATATAAAGACATATACTCAAAATGATTTATATATATATATATATATATATATATATATATATATATATATATATATATATATATATATATACATATATATATATATATATATATATATATATATATATATATATAGGCACAGATATTATATATATGTCTAGAACAGGTAAATGAAATTGTATACTTGGGGAGTGCTTTCAGCTGGGATGGAAGATGTGATTTAGATGTGGATAGGCGTGTCGCTGCCGGAAACAAAGTCAATGGTGCCCTAAATGCATTAGTCAAAAGGCAAGGGGTGGTGAAGAGTGCACGCCTTGCACTACATAACGCAGTGTTGGTACCGACTTTGTTATATGGCAGCGAAACCTGGGTATGCCAGAAGAAGCATAAAAGCACGTTGAATGCAGTGGAGATGCGATCTCTTCGTAAAATGTGTGGCGTTACCATAGCCAACCGAAAGCGAAACGAAGAGATTCGCAATATGGCAGGATTGAAAGATGACCTTATCACAAAAATTGATAGGGGCGTACTCCAATGGTTTGGGCACGTTGAGCGAATGAGTGAAGACCGAATGGTGAAGAAAATATATAGAGCGAAAGTAAATATTAAAAGGTGTCGAGGTAGACCGAGACTAACTTTCGTAGGCCATGTGAGCAAATTGCTCGAAGAGGGGAAGGTCAAGAGTACTCGGATACCTAGACGTGCATGTATGAAGAAGTTAATGAACCTGAAAGAAGCGAAGAGGTATGTAAGGATCGTGACACTTGGCGATCTGTTCTCTCTGGCTACCCCGTTAGGGATTGTGGGATAAGTATAAGTAGATATTATATTACTCTTTTCGGTATACCTTACATAGTACTCACTAATTACAAAAAGATTTATATCAATTTTTATTATTACGAAGTTGAGGTTTGGCCGTTCTTCACTGCTTGTTTAATCCATACATAGGCACACACCTTCGTATAATTATAACTTGTTGAACAAAACGCGTCAGCGACGCCGTTTCGGCGGCGTTTACGACTTTTTTCTCAGGAGCATTGAGTTATAATCTATATTGCTTCCTACCTCAATTCTCCCACATTAAATCTTAATGCTTCCTCTACACTACTCGCGAAGTAGATCGAAGTTGGACGAGGCGAATAGTGTAGAGAGGTACTTCGATTCACTTCGTCCAACCTCGCTTCGCCTCGGGCGACTTCCGATCGCTGTCGGTTTTTTGCGCCAGAGTCAAAGGACTTCGCGAAGTACCCCGAAGTGACACGAAGCATCTCACTACACTACTCGGCCTACGTCCATTAGCGCTTTGACGCCGTACTGCTCACTCGTGGGTGCGCGCGCATAAAATTGGGTACATATAATGAGTGCGACTTGGTCACAGGAACAAGTCCTTTTCTTCTTGGAAACACTACAATCAGAGCGAGTTATTTGGGACCCAGCTGACAGAGGACATAAAGATAGAAAAAAATCAACGATGCTTGGGTGCATTCAAGGAATTTTCAATATGCCTATCCTAGAACTGAAAAAAAAGAAAGAATCTCTTTTTGCCACCTACAGGGGCTATTGCAGAAAAAAACAAGAGTCACTTAAATCCGGTGCCGGCGTGGATGATATTTATCTTCCAGTATGGTTTGCATTTGAACATAATATGGATAATTTTTTGGGACCAGTATTTAAATGTAAACAAACAATGACAACGGTGAGTTTTTATTATTTAATTAAAGAGTAGGTTAAAAATGAATTCATTTCAATGCATGCTAATGTAAAGTAAATGCACACCTGTTTCACTGCTTTATTCAAATACGAGTATATTATGAATGTATTTTATTTCCATATTTCATGAATTCCAACAACAGATAGGCAAGATTTCACAAAAGTATATGAATGGTGTTGTTACTGTATCTTTTTTACATTTGTATGCATTGTATGATTTTCATTACATTTAGTAATAAATTTTAACCGACTTCAAAACGGAGGAGTTTTGCATCTCGAGTGTGTTTGTTTTGTATGTATGTTACGCGATATCTTCGCAGATTGTTACACAATTTCGATGATTCTTTTTTTATTAAATAGGTAATCCCATATAAGAGTGGTCTCATTATAATTTGGAGAAAAAAAATCATCTCAAAGGGTAGAAAATAAATAACTTTGTTTTTAGCGATTTGAATTCGGTTTTTACTTTTTTGTCAAAAGTTTATAACTTTTATTAACAAACAAAAACGGAACAAAAAAGTCTTTTATTGACCAAATAATCTTTATTAGGTTTTTTACATAATTAATAGTATTTATATGCCGGATTTCTATATCCAAGGATTTAATAAGCATACAATAACTAATTATTTCTAAAAAGATACTCCGCAAAATGATCTCTTATCTGAGTTGCAGATAATGTTGATCTGCGTGGTATTCGTGCAATATTTCTCAAAGCACAGTTTTTATCAACGTTCTGCCGCCAAGTTCCAGGTTGAATTAATACTCCGTTTTCATCATATGTGTCCACAATACCGGGTGGCATATAAATATGAGATGAATTATTACTTTTTCGAGAAAGTTGTGCAATAAGAGACAAGTCATTATAATAATATGAACGGTGTCGATATTTATATCAATTGGCATTTTGAATATTCTAAACCTGTTTGCTAAAATACCAAAAACATTCTCAATTACAACCCGAGACCTTGACAAGCGTGTATTAAAAATTCGTTTAGGTGAACCAATATTATGAGTACCAGGATAAGGTTTCATTATATTATTGTGCAAAGCAAATGCTCCGTCAGCCAAAAACACGTAGGGAATATTAGCTTTATCAGCGCTAGATAATGAGCGTGGCTTAGGCAAATTAAGAGTTTCGGGTGAAATTTTTTGCCACAACGAAGAATTTTTAAATACACCTCCGTCACTGATCCTTCCTCGACTACCAATGTTGGCATACATCAATTTATAATTACAGTCCACTAAAGCCAATAGTACTATACTGAATGTCTTCTTATAATTGAAGTACTCAGAACCCGAATTGTCCGGACATTGTATAATAATATGCTTTCCATCAATTACACCAACAGCATGCGGGAAATTATTTTTAAATCCGTTTTCAACTTCTAACCACTGCTGCTCATTGACTGGCATCTGAAAAAACAAAAAAAATTATTTATAACTAGATTGCGTTTTTGATTTCAGGACACTGCAACTGTTCCTAATGAACTTGAAGAGGAAAATGAGGCCGCCGAATCAACAGATTCTTCGATTCCACCAGACACGCTTAATTCATGTGAGGCACTCGATCCAACACCAACGCAAAATAGGACTATCCGGCGTCGAATCAACCCACCAGAATTACAAATTGCCAGCAAACAAATGTCTGAGGCATTTAACAATTTAAATAAAATGATTAACAAGCAAGATGTTGTTGAAGATGAGTGTGACATATTTGGCAAAATGATTGCCAAAAAATTAAAGAAGATGCCTGAACAAGAAAGGGAAGAAATAATGTTCGACATTCATGCTTTATTTCGAAGACCACGTAGTGTTAAAAGATCATCTGTTGATTCATTACGTTCCCCTACACCAACTTGTAGAAATTATCCTAATGTCACAATGACTTCTCCCAGGCCAAACTCATCATTTTCAGAGCCTCACAACTCATTTGTAGCATTTTCCGATGGAACTGACGGAAGACAATACATGTTACATATCCCGTAAACAAATGAAAATACTTTCCTTAATGAAAAATCTTCAATGGTTCACATTATAAGGGATGAAGTTGTTAGGCCAGCCGATAAAATTTCTTCGGTAACCAGCCCAACTACAATCCAAACTCGATTCATCCCCTACCAAACGTCTCCTATGAATAATATAATAAATCAAGCATACTATAAGTCTGAATAATACTTTTAAATCTCTAATTAAAATTACAACTAATAAATTAATTGTAATTTTAATTAGTAGTAAGTTTAAATTAAATTATGTTCAAAAATCTTAAACATCTACCTTTATTTCATCCTTGAGAACGTCGGTAAGAGCTTTGCAAACATCAACTACTATTTTTGAAATTAACTGACTTGAAATTTTTAATAAATACAGGCTTTTAAAACTGTCGCCAGTTGCTAAAAACCTCAAAGTGACTGCTAAACGAATCTTGGCAGGTATAGCTTTCCTTAAATGAGTATCTTGCTTAGAGTTAGTGGCAGAACTTTGGAAAGCAAGTAATTAAAATGCGTCAATGACATTCGATGGAAACTTTCGAATTCTCCAGATGGTTCTTGTATGAGTTCAACAAATTGTTGCTCCATACTACGTCTGCAAAAATATGAATAATAAATTAAAAATAATCATAATAGTAATAATAATATGTGCCTATGTTTAGACTTTTCTACCTATGGTAAAAGTTCTTAATTGTGCCTTGTTTACTAACCTAGTTCTGTTCCGGTGCATCGCAATCATCCACCATCTTCTTTTTTCTCCATTTCTTTTTAATTTTTGTTATATATAAAACACGCACGTAATTATAATACGCGAGCGAACACATTGCAACAGCAGCTGCCTCTTGAACGTTATTCATGTTAAGGGTACGGGAGACTCAAGACGACTGAGCTCTTCGCGAAGTAGCACGAGTGTGTGGTCACGTACTTCGACTTCGACGAGCACTTCGTCGAAGTTACTTCGCGAGTAGTGTGGAGGAAGCATATGAATTTATGTGTCCGTCTCTCTTTACTGTCACTTTTTCGTTTCGCTCTTTCAAATCACAACGATGCTAAAGAAGCTTTCACTTCAAAAAGTTTTTGTGTAGGAAAAGTACAAATAATTATTCGGGATGTTGATGGAAGTCCTTGCACGATTGTATATGTAAACCGCCTTCATGATACAGGACAAAATACCACAATGGGAGTAACGTTTTTTAAAAAACATATAAAAACAATAAAGTTAGGAAAATCCCTTAAAACCTTTTACGCAGTTACTCTGTTTTCGCTTCGCTTTCGTGCTATGTTGATTTTTCTTCCCCCACGTTATTTTTTAACGATCACCCTCACCGTCTCACACACACGAGGTCTGTACCCTTTACAAATTCCATTCTACTGGTAGTATTCGTTCAGGTAAGATAATTTTTTTAAAAGTTTCACTACGATTTTTCTTATATCGTGAAGTACATCATTATACTATATAATATATATTCCATACATAAATTGCACGTGGCCAAAATTCCAAATCTGAAACTATCTTTTATTTTTAGGCCACGCAAACAACTCTTGCGTGCGGGATTCACAGTCGCGGATCGTAGCGCCATAACTATAGGTACGCTGCGCCACAGCACTACCGAACCTTCTTTCAGTATTGGGTATATTCAGTTGATCAGTATCATTCAGTTTTTATTTTAGCCGACTTTATAAAAGACAAGGTTAACAATTCGGCGTAATGTTTTTCGTTATGTACGTATCGATATCAACGTCGATTGTGAACCGAGTTTGAAGATTCTCTTATTAATAATTAGGTTATACTACTATTTTATTTTACTTTTTAATTATTTAATTAAAAAACTCTTGTGGCTTACAGAAAATCCAACACGCAAACAAGGTTAAATTTTACATGCAAAAATATTTAAAAAATTGCATCCAATTATAACAAAAAAATGAATGGCTATTACTTATAAATTAATAATTAAAATTAATAATCATAAAGTAAACATTTATACAATATTAGTGATATAAAATCTCTAAACCTTTAGCAGCCCGTGTTGAGAAATTAATATAGTAATAAACAATAAAATATTAATAATTGTACAATGTTTAAAAAAGAGAAAGGTCGCAATCATACAATGTCAAAGTACCTATACTATAAACTTTTAGAGAAAAAATTACACTCACAAAATATAGAACGAAGTATTTAATGGAGCTATTAAGACGACATTGAGGTTATGACAGTCTTTAATCCACGCAATATGATTAAAAAAATTAACCGTAATAAAAGTAAAAACCGACTTCTCAGAACTATAAAAAATAAAATAACTACACATCCTGAAGTCAAGTCTTGAATTCCTCTACACACTATATTTTTTATAGAATAAGGGCGGCAAACGAGCACACAGTCCACCTGATAGTAAGTGGATGCTGTGGCTCATAGACATCTACATATATCCTTAATTAAGAATCAAAATGTGCAGATGCGTTGCCAACCTTGAGGACTCAGATGAAACGCCTCGTTTCCAGTAAAAAGGCCGATTCTCTACACTCACCATACGAAACAGCAGCGTAAAGCTGCTATTTTACGCTGTTATTCTATGAGAGCGTGGTCCTTTCCCGGTCGAGCCGACCGAATTTTACTTTTACGACTTTTACTTTGTTTTTACAAGCAATTTTTCTTATATAAAGGGGTGATAAACAAGGACACAAACCACTTCACTTTAAATGGATGCTGTGACCCTTACACATATCATTTATCCTCTATTGAAAATCAAAATGCACTATGCGTCACCCTATCGAACAAGTTTTAATATGCTACGTTGTTACCAGTAAAAAGTTCTCGTTACTCATCATACAAAACGCAGTAGTTTTAAGCTTCTATTTAATACTGGTTTTCAGTATCCGATAAGATTCCATTAAATTAGCTTTTTAACCATTTAAACATTTTGTTATTCCAATACTTCTCCACAGCAAATTTTCGTTAAATCTATAAATAAAGCAATCACCGATTCAGTGTCTAGTACACGATTCGGCACTCAGACGCAAAGGAAACAGTCGCTTACGCATTCCTAATCATTCGAAACTGGCAGCGTGATGGTCCCCGCCGCGCCCTCCTTCCGTTATTAATATACGTGTTCATTGGTTCAGTGGTTGAGCCGTGGTAGCTCAGATGGTTAACGCTTGCTATAAATATAACAGAACGCGAGTAACCCGGGTTCGATCCTCGCCGGCACCAATTAAATTGTTGTTTGCAATTTTAAGTGCTGATTAACCACGTGCTCGGCGGTGAAGAAAAACATCGTAAGCAAACCTGCATGTCTGAGGAATAAAAGAACAAAAAATATATTTAGAAGACATGTGAAGTTCGCCAACACGCATTGGGGCAGCGCGGCGGACACTTCCTTGCCCTAAAACCCTCTCAAAAATGGGGGGAGACCTGTGCCCAGTAGTGGGACGTATATAGGCTGTAAATTTAACTTTAACGTGTTCATTGAAATCCGCTCTTGTAACGAGTTAAACATGTTACGGATCGGTATAAACTTTAAAACTCTTTGAGATAAAAAAAAAGAAATGAAAATAAAGCGACAGTAGCTAATGGTTAACGATACGGACCGTGCACCCGAAAATCGTAAGCTCGTATCCGCAATTCGACTACTGTCGTGAAGTACTCAGGACGAAATAATTTTAAGATTAAGGTCTTTACACACTAAAACATTCCATACCATGACCGTAACCGTTTCGACTCATGTAAAAAATATTCTTTGTATAATTTGATATGCGACGTGAACTTGGACCATTTCGTCACCGACCAACAACGTAGCGTGCCACAACCGGATCGTCAGGTAATTTACGACGAGAATATTCGGTAGGTACCGATACGCCCCGTGTACTTCATACATTTTGTAGCTCACGTGCCATACTGCGACGTTACTAAGCCGCTCTAATAGAGTTGCCATATGATCAGGATTCGTCTGGATTCTCCCGACATTTTAAATGATCTCCAGACTCCTGACAAAACTCAAAATCTCCAGACAAAAAGCTTTTCGGAAAGGTAGCGTATTGCCTGTGATTTCGTAAATGCTGAGTTAGTAATTAGACTGAATTTTAAAATAAATTGTTTAAATTTTAAATATTTTCTGAATACTATTACTAAAGGATCTAAATTGGGGAACTCTAGTAAAGTTCAATGCCAAATGCATGTGGGAACCTAAAAATTAAGAGTACTTATACTTTGATTAAAACTACTTTTACGGATTTTATCGCGTTTATTTTTATTTTTAATTACTTAGGTACACAGTACAGTAATTGTTCATGGGGGGTATATTGCCATAGTTGCCACGCTTGGCGAGCGGGTTGGCAACCGCAGTTTTTTTTTTGTCGTAAGAAGAGATAGACAAGTTGCGCTGGAATACTATAGGATTATCCGACGTCCGAAGAGAGGGGGAGGATACGGTGATTCTCGAATCCGGCAACTTGTTCTATCACCGGGAGGGCGACCATCTGTCCCAAGGAGGTGTCGGATTTATCGTCCACAAGTCTCTCGTCAACAACGTTGTAAAGATTGGGAGTGTGTCGACGAGGGTCGCGTACCTGATACTCAGAATCACCAAAGGTATTCGCTGAAGGTCATACAGGTTTACGCACCAACCTCGGCACATCCCTATGAGGAGGTGGAGGAAATGTATGAGGATATTTCCAAAGCCATGCATTTCTCCAAAACCCACTACACGGTGTTGATGGGACTTCAACGCAAAACTAGGCACAAGAGAAAACGGTGAGCTGAAGTTAGGGAAATTTGGAGTAGGGCAACGGAACCGAAGGGGCCAGCAGCTGGCCGACTTTATGGAGAAAGAGGGACTCTTTATGATGAACTCTTTCTTCCAGAAGCGGCCCCACAGGAAGTGGACCTGGTCGAGCCCCGACGGTTCGACAAAAAATGAGATTGACTTCATTATGACGACCAGACGCCAACTGTTCAGTGATGTGTCAGTGATCGCAAGGGTGAAAACTGGCAGCGATCACCGA